ACTCAAAAACTATATGAGATATCGATTCGAATTTTAATATGTTATTTTTAAAGGTGTAATCTACCGAAATATGAAAAAAGATCGATTTTTCGACATTTCACCTAAGTGTGCCGCTTAAATTGCTCATATTTATTTTGCATTCAAAAACCGTCGACAAGACGCCGCCACTAACGGTAAATCTTTGTGCATCAATTTCGCTGTGAGGTGCAATTTAATACTGAAGTTTGTTTTTGTTGTAAATTACATAAAATAAACATAAAAGATAAAATGTGTATAACTGCGACTATTAACTGGTATTCATGTTTTTGGGAGATTTATTAAAATTTCAGATAAAACTTACTATAAAATTTCCAAGATAGCTGCATCACTTTGGCTATGAGCCACTGTATATTATATATATATATATGGCGCTTTGTAACCGCTGAAGCGATTTTCCGCCGAGCTCCTTCTCCAATTTGTGGTATGGATTTTGATGTTTTTCCAACAAATGGAGGGACCTACAATTTATACTAAGCCGCCTCCGTATGACTGATGGTTTTTCTTACGAGGATCTTTATTTCATGTCAGAAATATACTCGGAGGGGTTGACATTCCCTGCCGAGGGGCGACCATATTGGAAAATTTAACTTAATTTAATGACACTATATATTATTATTCATTAAAAAACTAACTAGTCTGATGAAGCCTTTAGTATCAATACCTAAATTTGAACTTTAGGAGGAAACTGAGTGAACTAAATACTTGATTAGGAGTTTCGTATCATGCGAAAATTTCAAATTCCCCTCCAAACTAAGTTTCGATTGTACTACGCAGCAGCTCGCCGAATACACTATTTATCTAACAAAAATATCACAAAACAGTGCAACTAAACAAAACTTAATAAATATATAAAAATTAATAAAAAATAAATAAGTGAAACAAAATTAAAAAAAAATTATTAACTTAGTAAAGAGAGCAAAGCTCTACGCGAGCGAAACTCATACATCACAGTTGTGTCGTCCAACTTCGGATTTAATGCAGAAGAGATCACAAATATCCCGTCATTAATAAAATCAAGAAACGACAATAGAATAAACGCTTATTAAAGAATTCCCACAGTTGAGGCAAATATTGACCTGTATGGCACTATTACAAAAAGAACAAGTACACTAAAGAATACTAGTAGTATGAAGAGAGCCAACACAAGCGATGATACAGAGAACAGTACAATTACTTACTTCACTGGCGTAGACACCGCTTACACGTTTATAGCCGTTTTTATAACATTGCGCTATGAATTTCTTTTTTTTCGCTCTTTGGCGCTAATTAAAGATACCAAGTACAGCCTGGTCCTTCCAACGGAGTGGAGGTCTTCCCCTTTCTCTACTTTCACCGGCGGGTAATGCATCGCGAAACTTTCAAGGTTGCATTATTATCCACCTGGACCACATGTCCTAGCCAGCGTAGCCGTTGTTTCTTGATTCGCTGAACTATGTCAATGAAATAAAGTCCAGCAACCAATGTCCATATGTATAAAACTGAGAAAAAGTTTAGTGTATCCCATTAATAAATTGATGTTGCACTTATATATTATATTAAATGCTAAACTTAATCAAGATATACAAATAAAACATCCGGATGGTAAGGCGCATGGGGCAGTTATCCCCATCCAAATTAGACTAAAGCATCACCTCCTAGAAGCTTAAGCTTCAGTCTGCCTTAAAGTTAAAGATGGCGATGACAATGTAAAATACACTGAGTTTGTTGTCTTATTAACCCAAAACACAATTACATGTATTTATATTTCAGATGTCCTATGGTCTACTTAAGAAATAAAGATTTCGTCCGAAAGTTTAATATACACAATATAAATTACAAGCTTTTCAAAGGATTTTTTTATTGTTTAATATCTTTATTGACCTATGAACCAGACATGAATGACATCTTCAATGTTAATGCTACCATTGTGTATTTAATAGCACAAATAAATACATAAATAATATTTCATGGTATATATTTAAAGTTGTAGGTTTTTTTTCTATAACGTATTTAACTAAGTTTGGAAATTTATTTCTTTGGTAAACAAAAATTTTTTTAATATACACTGCGCGACAACCGATTAGCACAGTCTCTAACCTATCAGTTTAAAGGATAATAACTCCTTACTCTGAATATGTTTCATGCGCATTCTATTTTTCCTTTTATTCTGTAAGTATAACTGTGAGCTCTGGAAGTGTACCGTTATTTTGCTTTACTTTTTTCTTTGAAGTGCGACAAAAATTCATGCATGTTTTTTGCGACAGCCGATTAGCACATTTTCGCTTTCATGTCACTTCTTGCGTGTAAGCTGCCTTGATTGGGTGTTTAAGTTTATTATTTATTTATTGGGACTAATTATCAATAAAATAAGGTAATAATGGGCAAAGGAAAACCGTTGGACGAGTCTGAAAAAGACAAAATAGAGGTTTACAGGGAGTGCGGGCACTCTATTCTTCAAATATCAAAAAATATTCAGCGCAGCCGTAAAGTTATTATCGCATATTTAAGCAATGAGGATACATATGGGAAAAACATGAAAGGTCGGCCATCATCAGTAACAACAGCAGCTGACAAGCGAATCATACTACGACACGCATCTAATTCCCACGACTCAGCCGCCAAAATAAAGGAAAAAACTGGTGTTAAAGCGTGCGTTCGGACTGTGCAATGAGTAATTTCGAATTATGAACATATGAAGCATCTAAAATTAAAAAAAAAAACCACCTCTAAACCAACTTTTAAAGATGCAACGACTCAATTTCTGTCGATCAAATATGACCTGGACTAAGGAGTGGGAGCGTGTAGTCTTTTCAGATGAAAAAAGTTCAATTTGGAGGGTCCTGACGGCTATGCCTACTACTTTCATGATCTCAGAAAGGAAAAGCAGACTTTAGATCGATTGCCCAGCCGTGCGGGTGGTGTCATGGTGTGGGAAGCTTTAACATACTTTGGCACTATAGAACTGCAGTTTCTTACCCGCCGTATGAATGCCATTGCGTACAAAGGTGTACTGAATACGTCTTTCCCTGCAATCAAGGATATTTTTAGACCCTTGAAATGGAAGTTCCAGCAGGACAACGCGCCTATCCACACAGCCAGGATTGTAAAGTCCTGGATTGATGGTCAAAACGTGGAATTACTGACTTGGGCGCCATACTCTCCCGACATAAACATTATAGAAAATGTTTGGGGATGGCTGGCACGAAAGGTGTACGAGTCCGGCAGGCAGTATTCAACTGAAGAAGAACTCATTGAAGGAATAAAAAGGTCCTGGGAGGCTCTTTCACTCAATTATATAAAAAAAATTATATGACTCCTTACCTCAGCGGATGTTCGAAGTCCTACTTAACCGTGTAGGCTCAACACATTATTAATTTATTTTCAAAAAAAAATTAAAAATATTTAAATTAATATTAAAAAACCATTTTCTTTTGTTATTTTAAGTTTTCAAGTGACTGTGCTAATCGGTTGTCGCAAAAATAATAGTGAATTTTGTATGTTATGTTTGTTTACATTAATTTAAAATGTTATTGATAAAGCTGGTATCCTATCTTCTATTAATTTTCGTGTGAAATTATATATTCTTTTAAGGGGAAAAAAATTTATTTGAAAAGCTTTTTTAGTTTTCCTGATATTAAGTTTCTAGGACGAGCAGGTTTGGGTGTGCTAATCGGTTGTCGCGCAGTGTATATAGATTTAAAAAAGGTAGCAAACTGAGTAGCAGGAGCCTTTATTTCATGTCAATCCCTGCCGTGGGGCGACGTCAATTATATAAATTAATTTAATTTTTTATTTAAATTAATTTTTTATAACTTTTTAAGGAGGGATTCAGCCGAAAATCACTTCAATACTAGTATCAATAACTAATTACTAAGAGATATGCGATTGATTTTAAAAACAGATAAATAATAAACAAAGATATCCCAAAATAGAAAGGGGCGAACATATATATGTATGTACATATGCTAATGAATACAATGAGAGTGTGTGTAATTCTGACATAATGAGATGAAACAGTGCTAGAGGCACAGTTGGGACTACATGCGAAAGATCTAACGAGTTTCTTTTTAACGTACAAAATTTGGACTACTCCTACTCAGCAGCTACTAGTCGATTCGATTTATCTTTTAAAATAGCCTCTAATAACCTGGCATAATCGGAAGGTTTAATTAGGTTGTAATTGTGCACAAGCTAATTTATCATAATTTAATACGAAAGTGTTTTGATGCATTCGTTTTACAATATGTGATACTTTAAAAAGTTTTGTTTTGAAATTTTATAAATTTTGTCTGGCGTTGTTTACAAATCCTTTTTTGGAACTATGTATCTGTTCCATGTAATAATATTAGAATAAAAAAAATCCTCCTGCAATGAGTGGTATGCGTCTTGATGTTTCTCCAATAAATGGAGGGACCCATAGTTTATTTGTAAGCGCCTCCGTGTATGGCCGATAGATTTTAATGAGGGGCTTTTAGTTCCTGCCAGAAATACACTCGGGTGAATTTCTATATTTGTGTACCAGCATACCTACCCAATGAAACTAAACTGATTCAATTGAGTTGGTTGGTTGACGATCATCTTAACTAACATAAGTGTAATTCATATTTTACCACCCATTGTCTCTATTTTTAAAGCTATACAATTGTAAATCACAAATCACAAACGTAAAGATTGCTTTAAAAACTATAATTCGTAAGTTAAAAGCAAGAACATGAATTTCCCTTTGTGAAGAGGAAGCGAGAAATAATTAAAATGAGGAGCGGTTTTATACACATTCTGTTATTGAATGACCTTTGTACATTATAATAATACTTACCTCGACTTCGCTTTAGTGTCTCAAGTTTTATATGCTGAAATTAAGTTTTGAGATCAAATTAAACTCATAATTCATGGGAATTATCAATAGGAATTATTGCTCATCTTATATTCCTCAGATGGAAAGCTCTTCAATTCGGTTTTTAGTGGATTTCTATCAAACCTGATTAGGGAAGTAATGTCATATTTTATTTAGAATATAATGGAATATACAAAATCGTTGCGTTATGTCATTTGTTGACTATGTCAGCTATAAAAAAAATATACTGCTTCATTTAGGAGTTTTGGATAGTTATTACGGCTGTGTTTAATGTAACATCTTGATCTGGTATAATAGAAACAGCTTCCTTTACATAATCGTATATATGTTTGCGGGTATCGATGACCACATCTCTAACCATCGATTTAAAAAAGGCGCTATGTCGAGGTGCTTCAGCATACCGTTCATAATGGTCAAGCGAATCTTGGAGTTTCAGTGTGAGATCATAATTCTTTCGGACTACATCTAATATCTGATCCTCTGTTGGTGTGGATAAACCTTGCTCTGCCAACCATTCCTTTATTTTATTTTGAAAATGTTTTACAATAGCCAAAATGTTGACGAGCGCATTCAACAGTTTGATGACATCTTCCTTATATTCACAATCTGTCATAGTTGTATAACGTAGCACTTAAAAAAGAGGCAAAATTAACGTATACATTAGTTATTTTAAAAATTTATAATTCATCAACATAGATGTAAGCAGCTAAAATATGTAGTGAATTTTCGGTAAAATATGCAAAAAAATGGCGACCAGGAGGGCACGCAAATTTCAAATAATTATATTTTTCATATAAACTGTATGATTGATTAACGACTTGTCCCGATTTTTTAATATTTCAAACAAGTCACTATACGAGAACAAGACCTGTTTTTTCCGCTTTCACCTAAGTCAAGATTAAGTTACGATTCATTTGATTGTGACTGTGGTTATAGTCCGACTTTGCACAATTCCAATTTATTTTCTTTAAAGCTTACGCCAGTATCAGATCAATTAAACATACTTGTTAAAGACCCAGAATTAAAAAAAAAAAAAAAGTGACGAAATACGACTGGAAATGTGATGTGTGTTGAGTACTTTATATTCGATAACGACCGAACTTATCCTACATTAATTTTTCCAATTCGACTACCACAACAGGTGGATAAGTAGTATTATTGGTAGTTTATAAGCTAGAGTAAATAACTTTATATTCTACCCGGGTGGGTATTACCTTACCTTCGACGTCAACCTGTCTCTCACAATTTAAACAACCCGACATGCAGGAACAGGGAAGAGTTTTCTTGCTACTAAAATCTAAAAGAAAGAGGTGGAGTCATATCGCCCGACATACGGCATTTATTAATCCTAACATACACGGTTTGTTTCTATTGGTTTCAATTGAGTTGCTTCTATCATATTACATTATACTTGCAATGCCTGCATTTTGGTGTGTGGCCTCTATAGCGGGGTATTTGATAACTAAGGCGCAGAAATACTTGGAATTACTAAAGGCAAATTATGTTTAAAAATTCCATAAGCCTACAATGTGACTGAGAATATTATCTTGCACGCCTTCTGTGTACGTAACAGCAGTGCCCATAAACGAAGCGAAAACAACTCAATTGCGATTGTTAAATCACGGGCAATCATCGATTAACAGCTGAGTGATAACGAGAAGAGAGTTAATCTTATAGTGGACTACATAGGAATGCCTATTGGATTCCAATTGACCATATGACCCACAAAAGTTTTTAGGGTGGTTATAATTTTGAATGGTTATAAAGTGAATTGGGTGATTTTAGTGGTGTGAGACTTTACATTGCGAAATCAGAGAAATTTGAATTTTTTCCTCTAAGTCCTTTCACTTTCAGCTCTCTTTTTTTTGCGATTTGTAATGTTCATTACGTATTGGAGTAATCCAATAGGAACTTTAAACAGGCCTCACTACTACTTAGTTAATAGTGAAATGCATCGTTTTTCGTCAGAAAATTCAATAAAATTTCATTAAGCACAGTAAATTTGTATGTTGAAATTAGACGTATTAAGTATATTTGTTGAATCCAAACATAGCTGTAAATGTAAATAAATTTGTCAATAAATGACAAAAAAATCTCCTAAAGTTATGTACAAAAGGAAACTTTTTCATTGTTGCACTTTAGTAAATATAAAAAATTATTTCTACAGCGCTCTGTTTGAAATTGATTCAGTTAAGTTTTGTTTGGGAGCTGTGCTGGTTTATAAAACAACTGCGCAAATTGAAATATGTTATATATTTATTTATATATGTATATATATAATTGATATTTTTCCAACAAATGGGGAAACCTACAGAAATACACTCGGGTGTTTGGCATTCCCTACCAAGGGAATTAGACAATTCGAAAAACTAATTTTATATAATTTTGGATGTTGTTCAAACAAGGATATGAACCCTCGTCTTCCTGATTAAACTAATCATGACGTGGGGAATGACTAATGTTTCCCCATCACAATCTTATGTACAAACAAATACATGGTGGTAAATAAAAAAAATACACTTCGGGAGGAAAATAATTATGGTAATTTTAGTTTAATAGTTTCTTATCTAGTTATCTTCGGTAAATTGTAGATATGGAATTCATCTTTTGCAAAACTGAGTAAATATTTCACTTAGAAAGAACAAGACATATTGCACGCTGAATTTTGTTTTACTATGTTTACCAAAGGAACACAATTAATTTCAACATCTGAATAATTCTAATATTAAAAGGAGATGAAAAAATCTTCTAATAATTACTAATTCAGGTGTCGTATAAGGAAACGGTTCATTTCTTGTATTTAATAATGTATAGCATTTACTTACCCATAGCATGTATTTCGGAAAATACTTTTTCTTCTCTGTTTAATTCATAATACAATTCATCATAGCTATTTGTGGTTGCCAAGAAGGTATCTCCGTAGGTAATAAATAAATTGAAAATATTTACCACCTAAAAAAGAATTTGAAAAAAATGTTCCCATTTTTCAATATTAAAATTTTACCTGTAGCGAAAGGTAAAATATGTTACACTTTTTCACTAGAGTTTGCTCCTGGTTTACAAGAAAGCGGAGAAGACCGATTAACGCCGACCATAACTCTTTCCAGGGGTAATTTAATCGGACCCTGCAACGCTTTTGATAGCATAGTACACGATGAATGACTCCAACGCAAAGTAGATATAATTCCATGGGAAATTTCTTCATCAAGTGTGAAACGATGAACTCAACAAGTAAATCTAGTAGAGTGGCCGCCAGTGGTTGAGATTTACCCACACGATCAACGTGTAGCTTGCGATGACGCATTTGAGCGCGATGCAGCATTACTTTAAATGTTAAATTACTGTCATGCATCATCGAGTTTGCATATTGATCCTCAGATATGCACGTCAATATAAGAAAGCAGAGCTTTAGATTAGCAACACTGGATTCATTTTTATTATCTTGCATTACTATGGAACTGAATTGAATTAATTACTAAGGATATATAACAAATGTAATGCCTTTCATACCAATATTGAAAAACTGCCACCAACAAATTGGTCGGATATTGAGTCATATCTATTATAGGAGCAGTTGTCAAATCTGGTACTGGTTGTGTTAGATTTAAAGTGTTACTAGGTGATGGAGGTGCACTCGATTCGGCTTGAGTGTGAGCTAGAGTTGTAATAAAGTTGCGATTAAGGTGAACAGCTTCATAAAGAGCTAGCAAAAGCCCATTATTAGCTTTGATTTGTTGCACACGTTCACAGCCTTCGTCTGAGACAAACATATTACCAACAATATTTGACAAGGACGAAAACCAAGAAGAGGACTGGACATTTGATAGGCTTTGCATATACTGACGACAAAAATCAATCAGTGATTGGGATATCATTTGCCCATAGCTGTAAAAAGGATAATCATGAAAAACAACAAACACAGTGATTTCGTGATACAAATATTATCAAAGATGTCATAAATGTTACTGCGTAATAAAGAATATTACCCATTCAGAGCCATTTCGTCTGCCAGAATTGATAGCTGGACCACGTAAGGATTAGTTGTTTCATGTTTCCTATAATTAACCAAAATTGTCAGCAAAATAACGACATCGTGACCATGCTGACAACGCAATGACGGATCGCTCAATAAACGAACGAAATCATTAAAAAGTGAATGCGTCGTTAAATACTCTAACAGTACGTTTTGACTAACATTATCTGTACCAGTCACAATCAATAACAAAAGCTTCAGGCACATGAATCGGGCACTTTCAGCTACTTCACCTGAAATGAGAAAAATAATTAATACTTATATTTCAATTTATTTCATGAACGCACCCAGTAGTACTTGATTACAGTTGTTCATTAGCTGCCGCATACTTTTATCCATTTGCTCGTAGCCAAATATTTCATTTAAGAAATTGAAAGAGGAGTCTGCAATAGACTTTTTAAATATGGCATAAAATAATGCACCCAAAGTTTGAAGGCTATTGAACAAACGTTTCGGATGATCTAAAACATAATACATATATTAAAAAGTTGTAGTAATATATAATCAAAAATTATTTGGCCACCTGTTTCTAGCATTTCAATGCTTTTCTGAAATAGTAAATTCACATTTTTATTAACTAGCATAAACTGTTCGCATGAAAGTTTCGTTATTTCAGCTTCTAATGATTCTACATTAGGCTGAAGCAGAAAGAATTCGTTCCAGAACTCGGGGCTTTCCGATGTAGGATCTTCACCCCTGAAGAATAATTCATAGATGTAAACAACTTTCTCCTTTGGTCGTTTAGAAGAACCACTTCCGCTTCGCTTACGAGACGTCATGATTGCACTGCAATCGTTATTTGCGTCAATCTCACTTTGTAAAATATTCGACTTTTACGCAAAATTTGTAAAATTTATTATTATAATTGAAACAAATATGACCAGTCAGCTGTTAAAAGACTGTAGACTGTATACTTATGCATAACCCACTTTGGACGCTACAGCACGACTGCAGTATAAACGAAATGCAACATGGTAACACTGCTATTCTCATCAATACAGGGTTTTGTGATTAAAAAATATTTGTTCAGTTTTTAAGGCCCAAATCAGGCCGGGTAGTAGTCATTACATGCAACGATGATGTACTTTCGTATATCAAACATCCTTCTTAAAAATCTAAAATCTTAGCCACAAATAATTATAAATTCTACTTAGGAAAATACTTAAAGCAGAACAAATAAATGAACGATTCAAATTAAATCGCCAAAATAAACAGCTGTTATACAACTTACTGGCTAGTTTTTACTGAATTCTGTTCGGTGAAAGCTTAGTAACTTTCTCTCTTTGGGAGAGTAAGACAACTTACTGTCTCAATTTCGTTATTGGCTAATTTTTACTGACATTTCTCAACGAGCACAATCGCTCAATTGTCAACAACCCACACATCTCGGTCAAGATTATTCATTTCATTGAATTATGTAATTTATATAATATATTAAGATATATTTCAGTAAAACACAAAAAGAAGTATTGAAAAACTCTCCTTCACCTCTACAGGATGGAGGGGTCAATGAAAAAGGCACTTTAGGCATAAAGGGAGGGAGATCTTCCTAAAGCTTAAAATGTATTCCCTTGTTTTGTGAGCCTTTGTAATCGTATGCACCTGGAATTTCCGATCCCTTAATTGGAAGGTGCTGCCGCTCAACTGGTAAAAAAAATCATAATCCAAGATGTGTGATACAGCGGCCACATAAAGGAGCGCAAATTTGGTGACGGGTTGGCGATAGGAGAGAGTCTCGCCACAATTCATTTAAAATCCAATTTTTCCCACATATCAATGACAAAGATAATATAATATGAAACTTGCTCACTTATCTATAATCTATAGGTTCTGTTGCCAGCACAAACTACAAGATCGAGGCCCAACATTCAGCTGTGAGTTAAAAATGTGACCTGCCATACGCAAACCGCCTTCTTGAGAGGTTTAACTTTTTATTAAAAAAAATTTATATAGATGTCACATCTATAAAAGTGGATTACAAAATATATATTAAGTTAAAGATTAGCTAGTCGGATAGAACTTTCATTATTTTTATTAAAATTGGGTTTTAAGAGTGTGGAAAGTAAATTTTTATACAATTATACATGTTATAAAAAATTATACAATGTTCTCTCGCGAGATAAAGAGTTTCAGATCATATTATCTTTGTCATTGATTTGCGCTCATGCCCGAATGAAGAGAGGGACGATATGGCCAAAAATAATAGGAAATATTACATCTCGTCCTCGTTCACTACCAGACCCATATCCTTCACTTCCTTATCCAGTCTGAACAAAGCAGAACTCACGGCGCGCTTGTAGAAACCAATAATGTCAATATCATCGGCGCACGTTAGCAACTGTACACTCTCTATTCAGCTCTTATAATTTTCTCCAGCAAAAAATTCAAAAAAGTCACACAATAAGGAATCATCCTGCCTAGTTTGGTGTCGAACAGCTTGGAGAGGTCTTTCCCGATCTTGACGATGTTTTTGGTGCTGCTCAAGGTCAGTTTACACAGCCTGATAAGTTTTGCGGGGAAACCAAATTCAGATATAGCGGCGTAGAAGCAGCTCCTATTCGTGCTGTCGAAGGCGGCTTCAAAATCGACGAAAAAGTGGTGGTTTTTTTTCTCAAGTTGGTTGACTTACCAAGTCTGAAGCCACACTGATAAGGTCCAATCAATTTGTTGACGGTGGGCTTTAGTCTTTTTTTATGGATTGGGCAGAGCAAACTTAAATTTTAATCGTCGGGCATGCTTTGTATGCACCTTTTGAATTCTTCACTGCCGTATTTGAATAGGTCGACCTGTTGTTGCAACGGACTCCAGGGAAAGATCGACGAGATAGTCGACTATATGAGCCGAGAGCACGTGTCAAATGCTGCGATCCAGGAAATTAAGTTGACCGCCCGATCTGATCTTCTGAGCCGGGCGAGACACAACATATTCCGCAAGGTCCTGAGCGAGACCATGGTGGGGGCCTAGCGTTCTTCCTGCACAACACCTAACAGTATCGTCTTATCGAGGGCGACATCGACCGCAGTGGTACTACCCTAGAATGTCAGGGCATAGCTGTCCGGTCAGGCGATTCCAAGCTCGAGATATTTAATATATACTTTCCTCCAATCACAAGTTGCCCAGCAGGATACACCCCTGGTATAGGTGCGCTGCTCAGGAGCGAAAACCATTGTCAAATGAACGTAGAGGAATTGAGCTGGCAAAACAGATAGGCGATTCGACATTCTGCACAATGAATGACAACACCCCACCAGAATTATGGGTAATTGCCAAAGCTCGCTGGATATAACAATTGCGAGTGCTGGTCTGATAAACAGTATAGTCTGGCGACACTATCATCGGACCACTTTCCCATACAAATCTCGAATGACATGCCTCCCTGTTTCTGTTTCCGCGGACCACCGGACATTTGTTAACTTCAAAAAAGCTAACTTGGCCCGGCTTCACGGAATTCACTGAGACCGCCTTTAGTGCTCTTCTCACTCCATCAGACATCACCACTGGTGAGCGTTTATTCCGCAGGGTCGTCGTGACCGCTGCCTCCCGCTTCATCCCGGCAGGCCAAATTTCGGAAACCCGTCCAAATTTTCCGACAGAAGGGGAGTTATTAGCATCCAGGCGCGACACCCTCCGAAGCTCCGATCCCGGGAATCCCATAATTAAGGATTTAAACGCGGAGATTCCAAGAGTAATCAACAATCATAAGCGGAAAACATGGGAGGAACACCTAAGGACCAGCAACCTCTCCTTTGGGGCAACCAAGCTATCGGCTACAGTCAAGTCGCTGTCTAACCCGACGAGACGCGATGATGGGGTGGAAATTTCATTCGGTGATCGCGCCTCGTCGAATCCTAAGATATGCGAGAGCTATTTTAGCCGACTTTTCACACTGCATCCTTCGGTAGGAAAAGCGAAGCGACGTGTAACCCGCCGTACGCGCAAACTGCCAAACACCAGCGGTGCTTGATTTCTCCAGGGAGGAGGCTCAGGGGCTCATCGGGAAAGCGAAAGCCTCCAAATCCATCGGCCCCGACGGAATGAGCATGCTGATGCTCAAACACCTAGAACCAGCGGGAGCAGAATTTCTCACGAGGGTTCTCAATTTGTTTTTGACTACCCTGATGATACCGAACGTGTGGAAAATGGGCAGGGTGGTCCCGCTACTCAAACCGGGGAAACCAACCAGCAAAGGAGAGTCCTATCGGCAGATAACTCTCCTCTCCCCAGCATTAACCAAATCGCGCGAACTGTCCTGGTAGCACTGGATTTGTCAAAAGCTTTTGACACAGTCAATCATTCAGTGCTACTAACGGACATTGAGAAATCCTCATTACCGCCGGGATTGCAGAGGTGGTTTATGGGCTACCTGAGTGGTCGACAATCATCGGTAATATTCCGAGGTGTAACACCAAAACCCAGAAAAATTAAACAGGGGGTTCCGTAGGGTGGTGTCCTCTCCCCGCTACTGTTTAATTTCTACATCTCGAAACTCCCTCCTCCATCAGAATGAGTTTCCCTAACCTCGTATTATGATGATTGTACGATAATAGTATCTGGCAACGATATTGACTACCTCTGTTCGAACGGCTACCTCACCGATCTTTCTCACTTCTTCACTGCAAGACAGCTAAAAATACAACCGACCAAATCCTCGGCTACCCTCTTCACCAGCTGGGCGAAGGACCGTGACAGGAAACCTCGAGTTACGAGTTAAGGAGCATAATGCTTTGCTGTGCAAGCAGTTCCTATTGGGATGCTACCGCAGGGAGTACTAGTTCTTAATGACACAATCCAGACAAGCACTGAACGCCATTCACCAGGAGTCAGTTAACACCTTCAAGGAAAACCACCACCTATAGCAGACAACGAGCTCGAGCTGCCTCGAGAGACTCGCGTGACCCTGACACAACTCAGGTTAAACTCCTACTTATCCAGACTAGACCCAATCATACCGAACGTATGCCCTGCGTGTAGAGAGTCTCCGCACGACACTAACCACCTCTTCATATGCCCTCTCAAACCTACTCATCTAACCCCCCTCTCCCTTTGGTCCAACCCCGTCGAGACAGCTCGTTTCCTGGACCTCCCCTTAGATGACCTAGGCGACTTAGTTTGATCAAACCTGTGCCTAAGCGGGGTTAGCGAAAGGCTACAACAACAACAATAGCTTCGATATACTAGATCACCTCTCTGTTTCCTACAAGTGTCTTTTCATAGAACTTTCGAGCACTAACCCGCACGCAGAGGCTGGTGCGTATTTTCGCTGCAACAAGATGGTGGAGTGTATATCACAACATGATCGATCTGGTTTTCTGTTTTTGTTAAGGGGACAGCCAACTAGCTTCGTGAATTTTTTTGTGCTGGAATCTAGTACTACAGACAACCACATTTCGGCGACAGGTGAAATTGATCATCTTCGCGCTCCTTAATACGGCCGCTGTAGTAAATGACACAAGGTCATGCTTGCTTCCGATCGCGTCCCTTTCATCGCACTTCTTTAACGTCAGTGATATCAGACATTTCAGGGGATCATCTCATCAGAGGTGTATTATAACTTTTCGTAGGAGCTGGTTTCTACATGGCGGATCCCAAACCCAGCGCACAACCTCTCTATGCAAGGAAGTGTAAAATATCTTTACTCATTTGTATAGAGAAGCAATAAGTCGGAGTGGCTCCACTAAAGCTTCTTCTCTTTTAGCCGAAACTCAAGCCTCCAAACATCACTTGGTTTGATTTTTTTTCATAGACTAATATATTCTTTTATCTAAATGTTGCTGATCGACTTTTAGGGGAAAAAAGTTCTATATGGCATAACCCCAGTCTACTTGCGGAAAAGAATACATTCGTACAAAACTTCAGCAAACCGAGTCAAAAATATTTTTTTTTACATCGACACTTGACAACTTCCTGAAAAGTCAAAAGATTCAAGTAAAACGAACCATAAATACAGTCTTTTATATAAGTCCCAGGTAAATTTTTTGGAGCAAAAAGTATTCTGTATGTTACCTTCTTCGAAGAAATATTCTGCTTATTCTATTCTGGTTGAAATCAATTCCAAAAATGCAAAAATTTGAAAAGTTGGTCTAGTCGTTTTTTTTAGTTATGATTTTATCATATAGGGAAGAGATACATATGTATAATGGCAAGGGATATTTATGTACATACTTGCATTACTTAGATATTTACCGAATAAAAGTGTTGAACTTGAAAATCTTTGCTTTGCTTGCCAAAAACTTGAAATATGTCATTCCGCTTGGTACAAGTTGTCGAGAAACCTTTATTTTCATCACTCTTGAAGTTAAGCCACTATAGATTTCAACTTACGAGTCTTAGCGTAATCAGACAACAATATGTATGAATGGAATATGCTTTCACATATTTGCATACATATATATGTATATACAAAACATTATAAAATACATACGTATCTATAAAAAGAACAAAAACCCCTTTAACGTTATTTTATTTCGAATTGGAAATAATTTTTTATTGATTTATAAATTTATAAATTGTCCAATATTATGCATTGTACATGTATACATACATATACATATATAACTACATAAGTCAAAATGTTTATCAACCATGCAATTTATCAGACATGCAGCATATCTTATGTGAGCTTAGATACATAATTAAAAGTAAAAATTTTTACTTATTAAAAAAAGAACTTATTTTTTCATATTTATTAATATGCATGCATTTTTAATCTATTTCTGTATGTATGTGCATACATATTAAATTTCTATTCACGTGGTTTATAATTTTTTATTTGTTAACAGTGACATTCCCTTTGAAACGTAATCAAGTATGCACTTATTTATTTATTTACAAACTGATGCTCGAGAATCGTGTATTACTAATTATAAAATAATGATTTGCGGCTAAAACACAATCTTATCTGTGAAGGCATTAGAAAAAAGATATTCATATGAGTATATATACATATTTATGTATGTATGATTGTTTTTAAAACTTTAAAATTAAAAGTACTAAAAATGGTCCACTTTTACTGATACGGTATGAGCAGCAGCATTACTTGGTAAATCTATATTGTCCCATTCTGTGTGCAAGTTCTTTTCGCTGTCGGTTGCCTTCAACGCCAATCCTAAGGAAGCTGTACGGCCTGCACAATGTGGTATGTTTAGCGTTACTGGCACTAGGAATTCAAGGCCTTGTGGACCACACATAACTAAAGGAGATAACATTGTCTCACCTGCGAATAAATTGGAAATTAATTTAATAAGATTTTAATTTTGTCAAAATCATTTTGTTAATAATATAATTAATTGGTTACTATTGTATATATACAATGGATACGAATTGGACTGTGCAGAATAATGCTGTGATGGTGACTCGATTTTTACAATTATAATTAACCCATTGGAGGGAAAGGCTTTCACGATCAATTTTGTCTGCCATTTCAGTGGCAATTTCAATTTATCTTTCAAATTTGATGTTTTTCTTTTTGAAACTGTTGCACATTAAGTTTAGCATGTATTATTTTTGGCACATTTTTAAAAGTACAATAATTTTGTTGGCTCCGGTCAGCGGGTAACATTTTCTAACTCAAGACAGACTGACTGGGGGATGTTTGTAGAAATTTGTTTTCTTAAAGCTAATTATTTATTGGAATGTGCATTGCAGTGTCCGTTATTTGCGAAAACGAAATAATAAGGTTAGATTAATTAATTATTCATTTTAAACCTTGCCTCTAAGAAGACACATTTTCCATATTTTTTTATTAATTACATTCATTTATTTCTTAACTTTTGAATAATTGATGAATTTTCATATTTTTATTTTTTATTTTTATCAAAATAATAAAAACCTTTATTTTCAGCGTGTTTGCACTGTTGGGGAAACCCATGAAGGCAGAGAGATAGAACAACAGCTTCTTTTTAGACTGCAAAATTAACGAATAATCACAAAATAAGTTTTTTTTTGTATTCCCTGAACCGCGTTCGGTGAGGCAAAAAGCCAGTAAATTTTAAGATTTCGTTTCTGGCTAATTCGTACTGACATTTCCCACCGAACAAAGGTAAACCTGTGTTGAAAATGTACATTGTATGTAGGCTTAACTTCAGTCTACATACATATGTACGTATTTTGTTGAGCAAACTCAAACCTGTAATTAGTTGTTTAGATTTGGTATTTACGTGTACATTTAAAAAAATAAATTTGACTAATTATTTATTTTTCGTAAAATATACAATGTCATAGTTATAAAGTCTACATTACGCAATTACATACTGGTATTACAATTAATTTCATCACTAACCCAACTACTTGTATGTTCATATGTACTATATAAATATTATACTCATTCCCAAGCATATATCCGATACTCCGACCAGCAGATAATAAAAATAAAAGAAAATTAAAAATGATATAAAGGATTTATACTTCGGAACAATTTATTCTAGTCCGCCACCAATAGGCTGATGTTCTTTTCTTTGGAGCTTTTCTTTTGAAAATTATTAGAAAAATTAGCAATCTTCTATATTGATGCTGGGTTCGCTACACGATCGCGTAATATAACCTAAATATATATTAATATTAGTTTTTTCACGAATTATATTCTTTGCGTTTTGAAGTATTTAAGGGATTAGAAGAGAAGTAAAAAAAGAAAGTTAGGATATCGATATATATATATATAATATATATATATGCTTGGCGCTTTGTAACCGCTGAAGCGATTTTCGGCAGAACCCCTCCTCTAATTTGTGGTTTTGCGTCTTGATGTTTTTCCAACAAATGGAGGGACTTACAGTTTATTCTCCGCCTCCGAACGGCTGATGGTTTTTTATGAGGAGCTTTATTTAATGTCGGAAATTCCGAATGGCAGAACGCAATGCTAGCCACACGGCTACTACGACCGCCAGTTGGGAGGTGTACTTTTGTCGAAAATTATATATTTCGTAACGGTTTTCATCTTGTGAAAAGTGGAAACGAATATAATTCTGTTTAGCTCTCAGATCTATAGTGTGTATAACAAATGAGCTGATGAAAGTATGTGGCCACATAGTTTTACTATAATATTTATAGCAGTTATAGCAAAGTTCAACATTCACCTCCAACATCAAATAAAATATGGAAAATATGCTACTGTCAACCTAATTAATATAATACTTTGATAATTTATTAGAGAAATTAAAGAGCCTTTGAATAATCTATGTTCAAAATAAAAATTCGTTATAATTCGATACGAGGCGAATTCATGAAGTTAGGTGAATTGAAAGTCATGGTGAATTTATAAGTTTATAAATTATTGTTCAAACTACCATCATATCCACTCTTTTTTCGCATAAACTGAATTTATAAAATTACCGCTTGAATCTTGTCACTTAAGCAAAAAAAAAATCAAATTAATTTAAGCAAACAAGATATAAGCTAACAAATTATTTTGACAAATCTCCACCCTAAAGAAAGTCCAATGAATGGAAAAAGGTGAATTCGCTGTCGTAGTAACATCCTACTGTTCAATTCGAATTGAATTTGATATTTAACTTTTATGCATGCGGGGTTGAATATGTACATTAGCTTTTATTTATATCGCTTTGCAAATATTAGTATTAGTATACGAGTAAATATATACATATGTACATAAATATATTTTAATAATTCAACGTAAATGCATATACATACATACATACATACATACATACATACATACATACATATGTATATGCATTATTTTAAATGATATTTCCGATATAACCCCAGGATTCAGTACTTTGATATTATATGTAGTTACTAGTCTCAAAAGTTAATAAAGACTTGTTTAAAAAATTCTAGCTAGAGATGCATAGAGATGCATATAAGAGTTAATAAAAAGTGCTTGTAATTTACTCGGGATTACTTTTCTTAATGATATTTTTGAACCGTAAACATGGACAAGATCGTATTTTGGAAGTTTTATATTTAAGTTTTATCGGAATTAATTGTTAAAAAAAAATTTAAATATTTCAATACGAATATTCACTGCTTAATGAAATCCCAATATACTACAAACGATATTTTTTAAGGCAGAACTAACTACTTGAGACTAGAGTGTGCTTACTGAATCTCGGCGTAAGTGTTGATTGTTAATAAATACTCTTGAACTAATAAAAACTGGTGTAGTGATACAAAGTTGTGCGTGAAAAATTGCAACAAAAGTTAAATAGCAACAAATAACAATTGGCTATGCCGCTAACGAACAAAGAGTTTTAGTTATTTTAATTAATCCTAATAGTAAGGTATTTATGTATGCATGTGGTGAAACAAACCGTTTTCCATATCCAATGGTGGACCGTCAACGGCTTTTCCTAGTCTTGGATCACTGACTGTGAAGTATATTTCCTGTTTTACGCCAGTTTGTATGGCCCCCGGAGGTATCTGCAGGGAAACATTCCAAATAGGATCCGCCAGTATGCCGCCGTTGGAATCAAAAACTCCCCGCGTTGTAGAGGGTTCCCGGGGTATGGACGGAAACGTACCTACTGGCGGTAATATTGCATTTGGGGGTGGAGCAGTTGTAGTCACTGGACCGGCCATTGGTAATGACATATTACTTGTATAAGGTGTGCTACTTGCTTTCGGCGGACCTACCGGTAAACTGCCTTGCGATGTATATTGTGTTTCAAGAGACGTGCGGCTGTCTGCTATAGCGGTATTCGGCGGAGGTCCAGTTCTTTTCAAAATGTTTGAAATATGAAATGGCATGCGCGGCGAACGGGTGTTTAGTGATTGTGTTGGCTGTGGTGGCTCTAAAATTTTGATTGGCGGACCTTCTACAACTAGAGGTGAAGATATCTCATCTAATTTTTTTAATACTTCGTCAGATTGTATATTTAATTTTTGCAAGTCTCTGTTATCTTTTACATTATTGTTAGGGTGTTGGGGAAATTTGGCGCCTTCATTATCTGAACATTCTAAGTCATCATCTACATCTTCGCTTTGCACCAGTGGCGCTTTACCTTCGGTTGTATTTGGCGAAAGTCTTACTGTATTCTCTATGACAGTATCGCAAGATTTCTGTAGATCTGACCTACTTAAGGTGTCTTCGTTTTGATTAACTTCGGAAATGACGGATTCAGTTTTCTCCTCTTTTTTCTCATCAGTTTCATTTTCACCTGATTGTAAAATAGTTTCTTCTTTCGTTTCATATATGGGTTCAGGTCGAACAGCATCCTTTTTTCTGGAAATATACAACGGTTCTGCCATGCTGTCTAATGCTTCCCGACGAGTTTGGTAAATTTGTTCCCTTAACTGAGCTCTCGTTTTCAATGCGCTGTCTTTCAGCTCACGTCTAGTTTGATAAATTGATTCATGGTCCGATTTGTCATCGCGCTCTGATGAGCCGTTAGCATGAGGACTAGAACCTGATACCTTATTTTGTGTTTCATTAATAACGCATTCCTGCATTTCCTTTTTGACTTGAAACAAGTGATTTCGATGAACTTCCGATTGGATTTCATTTCGGGATTGGTATAATGGACCTATAGATTCGTTTGTATTTGAAGGATGGAATCGTCTTCGCGACATAACTTCTGAGCTTGGCGCTCTGCGTTGATTATCAAGATTAAATGGACTCACTTTGCTCTGGCATACATCGTGGTGCTCATAAGTTGAGCAAGTAGAAGGATCAGTCATTGGTACCTTACAATTCATTCGATCTGCTGTAGTTGTACTGTGCCTTCTTACTATCTTACGTCCGTTTCGGTTAGTAGCTGCTATTGCTTCCGCTTGTCGTCGTTCCAAGTCAATGAAAGCACGGTTTGCGTATATATCTTCATGATTCATGTCATATTCTGCTTTCACTTTTCTACACATTCTTTGCATGGTTCCCATATTTCCATATATATCTTCACTTTCTAAATTTTGATATGTACTATTATTAAGGTCTTGGTAATATTGATTACCATAATGTTGGGGATAATACTGTTCTCGAGGTATCATATCATGCGAACGCACACCAATTCTCCGCGGTCCGTGATAATATTTATTCTCAAACCCAGCTGGATAGGTTGGGTATTCATCAGGGTAGTAAGGTCTTTGCATTCCACGTTCTAGCATTGAATGTTGCCTTTTGATAGACGGTTTAGGTCTTCTTTCTGGTTCTACCATGCTGTTCATACGTCTCAGAGGCTTTGTCGTTTTTATAAAAGCGTTTTTGATTGCCACTAAAGGGCTTTTCAAGACAGATTTCTTTTTCACTTTATGCGGAGGTAGCGGCGGAGGCATTAGATTTCCATCATAATAACTGTGTGGTGGTTGAGCATATTCAGGTCGCATTTTATAAGAATAATACTCGGGATCTAAATTTAGTGGCCGAAGAGGAGGTGCGTGGCGGTGCGAATCACCTGATGATGGAGGAGGTGGTGACATCGAATAATAACCTTCAAAATTTTCTTCATATGGCTCCATTTCGCTAAAGATGTTATTGAGTTAATGGAGAATTAAGAATTGAATTCAAGAAGAAGGGACATTCTATCCTTTTTTCATACATATATATACAAGAAAGTACTAAAATACTTAACACTCGATTTTAAGCTCAAAAGCTCTTTTAAAGTCTGTTTCATGTAAAATCACTATAAATATAATCGGAATAGTTGCTGAACAAACCACAGACATTTTTATATTCTCTGGTTAAAAAAATTCTTCTTCCAAAAAATGTTTTGTGTATTTTAATAATTATAATTATAATTTTGAATTCTTTATTTTGCAATACCAATTGGGGTTGTCTTTCGCTAATATCTTGCACCAAAAAGTTATTTAAATACATACAGACATGAACATATGTGAATTCTATGTAGAGTTACGGATTTCGAAAGTAAAACTATCTGTTAGTTTTTACCAAATATATGTATGAACGAAATTACTTATTCATAAAAACATTTTAAACTATATATTAATTATGTATTGAAATAATAACCCACAACCTTATCATTATAATCCATATAATAATTATTTAATTAATTAATATTATAAGAAGTTAATTTCAGATCATTGCTGGAAATTAGCTGATTGTAAGCAATACAGTTTTTATACGAGGCAGAAACTATTTCTCTAAAAATATTACCCCGAAAAATGTTTTATTTTCGTTTTTATTTGTTGTTTGGTTTTGCAAAATAAAGGAGTTATCTGTTTTCATAATGTTTAACTTAGACCGCCTTGATTGAAAATGTGCTTTTTCTTTTTCATAAGTACAGAATTTAAGAATATATTTATAATAAACTTTTATATTATGATATCGGGATAAATGACAATTTTAAATATTCCATTGATAAACAAAAATAAAAACATTTTTCGTTAACAGAAATCCTTGTAAGCAGGGGTAAAACAATAAAAGAGATAATTAAGTTGTTGAAGATGTAATTCAAAGTATTACATGTTTATAGCAATGTCTACAATTTTCTAAGAGTTTCTCGTGTGTATATATGTATGCATGTATGTATATACATACGTATAATCTATACTTACATTGAATAAATAATATCTATATGGCATGTATACATGTAATTACCTCATATTATGATGGTGCCCAGTTATACCAATTTGAGGTTTGCGATACAATTCAAATGCTGACCCACGTTGCTCTCGACTTCCCGCCAAATCAAGTGGATTCCGATCTGGTGCATGCGCGGGTATGTTACCTTTAAAAAATCAATCAATTTGAAACATTTAGATGGATCTTCAATAATTATTTAGACGAATCTTATTTGTAAGCAGAATAAATAAAATCCAAATTTGCATATGTATACATACATAGTATGTAGTTGTAATCAAAGATTGTACATATGCATGATTTAGTCAAATTTACATACAAAAAAACTGTCTAGTCCCGATATTTGGTCTTGGAATTTTTTTTATTAATCGAATCAAAGAGAGATACCGATTACAGTCTATGTATATTTGTACGAGTATTTATAACTAAAAAAATTGTAAACTCAATATGAGACGTCCTATTTTTATTGTTTCTCTCACTCTCTGCTTTAAAACAAAGCGTTTTTATCGGTCTTTTCACAGGAGATTAGATTAATCAAAATATGCACGTAATTTGTATTGAAAACCTGGAAATGGAAACTGCAATAAAATTTGACATTGCCGATTTTCCATAAAGTCAAGCAGAATGAGCATACCTAAATTTTTTTAAAACTAAGAGAAATAATGTAGAATATTAAATTTGATATTTACCAATTGGAGCTGGCATTCCGCGATGTGGTGCTATATATGGCCCTGTACCACTTCCGCCATTGTAATGGTGGTTACCAACGTAGCCATTTACTGGAGGAGGAGGGTATTGTGACTGCGGTACGTAATTACTGTTGCTGCCATATGTTGTATGGATGTTACTATTATTGTTATTATTACCATGCCCTGGGGATCCAGGAGTTTGGTGCGAATAATGTTGGTGAGAGGAGGTCATAGAAGGGTAAAAAAATCCATTGGGTGAGCGTGGGGAACTCGAATCCTGGTATTAAAGTTGTAAAGAAGTGAAGTATTTTGTTAGTTAGATGTATATATTTAATTGTATGCCAAAGTTTATAAATTTTTGCTACTACCGTTTATATCATAAAATGAGAATCAAATTTAATAAAAGTTCTATTACATTTAAAAAAATAAATAAATATTAATTTACTTATTTCAATCAAAAAACCGTATATTTTTTGGTATAGAAACATGTATGGTGTATAAACTTACCCCACTTTCCCATTGGCTGCCTGTGTTATTACCTCCTTGCAATGGTGGGCGGTAATTTTTAGGTTTTGGCGGTGGAACCGGTTTAAATGGTCCGCCACTATTCGTAGATGATCCATTGTTATTATTATTCGTACTGGATTGCGGAACAACGAGATGCGAGTTCTTCGGCAATTTGTTGTAGTCGGCTTGAGTTATGGAATTATTACGACTGTTGCCATTCATTTAAATGCGAAACATGACGTAATTATAAATAAAGGCGCGTCCAAAAACGATTTAAAAGGGATTAAAAAATTATCGAACAAAAGACGGAAAAGTTAGCCAATTAAGAAAATGTAGCGGAAAAAAATATAATTGAATGAAAAAAATTAGCTTGTCCATAAGAGTTTACGAGTATTTAATTATTGTAAGCTTAAATTTATATATATATGTATAATAACATGCATAAATATAGAAAAATAGTATCATACCTCAGAATTTTTCTCTCAATATAAGTAGTTTGATTTTATTATAATTTGTGAATTTACATACAACTTACATATATATACACATGCATACATATACATATATATTTCTTATTTTCATGAAAAAGATTGTGAGTAACGTAATGCTTTCGGAGAGACTCTTCGAGTTTACATAACCGTTTATGTGAATTCTCGTCCGAACCGCGTTTATTATAAATGAACGGATTAAAGTTTTACATTTTTATAATGATCTACTATTTTCAAGTTAGTGTTTCGATTGCGGCATAGTATAAATTGTAGGCCCTCCGTTTGCTGGAAGAAGCATAGCGATTACAAAACGCCAAATATATTTATATTTATATAACATCCGTATTGGCGGCTGTTCGTAGTGCCACTGTTCGAGTCCTGGTCCGACCAACATCCAAAAATTTAAGAAAATAAATTTAAATAAAAAATTAAGTTAATTTTTCCTAACTGCGGTCGTCCCTCGGCAGGGAAAATCAGTCTCTATTAAATGCCCCTCATGAGAAACCATCAGCCGTTCGAAGAACGACGCTCAGCATAAACTGTAGGTTCCAAGATTTGTTGAAAAACATAAAGACGCACATCGGCCGATAATCGCTTAAGCGGTTACTAAGCGCCGCATATAAATAAATACATATATATAAAAATATGTTTATATATCATTATAGCATCAATTAAAAGTGATTGAGTTTAAACGTGTTTGCCACTTACAAGTTATTCACTATACTCGTATATAACTTTACTTTTTTCCGGGAACTTGAATTTTAAACCTCGATATATTAGCGGTTAGAAGTGTTGGAAAATTACATAACGGAACAAATATACAGCACTTTTAAAAAAATAAAACTTTGTATTGTTTATGGATTTCCTACCGATCGTTGGTATTACTCGAAATAATCGGATTCGGGATATTATTTTTAAATAACTGTTTGAGGCCCTTAACGTACTATTAACCAGGAAAAAGATATACATTTGTATATGTATACATGTATATATGTGCAAAAATTTGAAAAATGAATTGTAGATGTTTACTCGCAACAAGTATTTTTTTTGCTATATATTATATTATGTTATATATATATATATATATATATATATACTACAGAATATCCAAGTTAAAGGGATGCAATGAACTTTATTAATCGTTTAAGAGGGAATAAAAAGACACGAGGATTTCATAAAATATACTTAGTTTATTTACGTTGTCTCCAATTCAAACAAGTGTGTCATAAATAGATAGATTTTCATCAATACGGTGAAATTTACGTTCCAGAGTTTTTGAAGAACAAAGTGAATGGATATCAAGCTTCGTGTTAGTCTTTAAGTCGATACACTTAGGTGGGTACACTATTGATTTACTAGTAAAAATTGTCGGTTTATATGCAAAAATACAAGTTGAGGGATGCCGATAATGAAAATGTGTCGGGCGCAATTGCAAATAACACCTTTACAATAATGAAATTAATCATAAATATGTATTTGTACTTATACAGACGTAAGTACATACATGCATGTATGTTGTACAAACCGTAATTTAACAAGCCGTTTATACCATTATATAACATAAGACATACATAATTTGGTATAGTTACGCATTTGATTTCGTTTTGTTGTCATGCAAGTATGTAATTTTTTTAAAGAGAGTAAATAAAAGAATTTTGTTATCTTCATATTTATTTAATATATTAATACTTAAATTACAACGCAGTGGAGATCTTAATTGAATATTCACTTGCAAGGCTGTTTTAAATGAAAGTGGTGTAGGTTTTGTTTTTAATACTGTTTTTTGGATACAATTTTAATGTTTTCAGTGGAATTAGGATGCTTTATATTATTTCATTTATAGTTTTTTTTTTGCTTTAAAGTATTTACCTAAGCATTTTAATAAAATTGACAATTATTCATTAAGGCCAGAAAGTTTCCGTGAATTGTCATTTAAACTTCCCGCGCTGAATATTTTTCAGCACCTTTGTTTTGTTAAATTGCTAGCACTGTCCTTAATTACTATGTCAAAAATAAAAGAAAAAAAAGCGATCTGTTAAACCAGTTTGTTTGCAGCAGCTGTTGCCCTTTGTCAATTTTCTTTTACGGCCTCAATCGAGTCGAGACGAACAAATATCACAAAGAAGAATAAAACAATTTCCCGAAATTTTTTTAATGTAAGCATATTTAATTTATTGATTGCATTCAAAATTTATTGTATTTCAACAATGATGAAATTTTACATGCTTCATAGCCGTCCAACTATAAAGATACTAATATGCTTTTTCTAATAGTCCTCTGAATGGTCGAAAATTCATGTAAATCTTGCTTGGCAACAATTTGTCGTTTAGATTTGAGATTTTCAGGAATGAAGATTGAAGTACGAAAATGGGTTTGAAATTCTTTTTCCGTATAAACCGGCCATATAAACTCAACAAAATTATAGAATATTTTCGATTCTGCTTCAATGAAAATCAAGAAAAAGCTTAATTTTTCCTTCTAAATGCTATTGTACTAATATTTAATTTTGCACATCGTCGTCGAATCCGGAAGCTTAAGAATGAATGTATTATCGTCATAATTTGGTCGACAATGCTTTCTAGTAAAAAAATTTTAGTTGTACAAAAAATAATAATATGTTCTAATTCTATACATTCAACATTCCTAACTTCTAAATCATCAACGTGGGCTCGTCCACTCTACTGCCAGCACATTCTTATTTAATGAATACCATATCTATTTAATTGAATAATTGATACCATTAAATATTTATTTGTTTTGTATTAAAATTATTTTAATTTTTTTTTTTTAATTTTGCTTTGTCGACAAAAAATGCAATAATAAGAATATGAATCAGCTGTTTTTCAAACTTGCTATTTTTTACTTGGTCAAATTTTCCCAACACGAATTTGAAACTTTCCAAACTAAACGCCAAAATTTCGCCCTCTCGTTACTAGTTTAACTGGGTTTTTGGCTCTAAAAACTGTTACTGCCCATCTGATCAATGAACAGAACTATAATAGTCCACAAAAACAAGAACTAATGCAAAGAGACGTTCCATGTCAACTCTCATAAACAAAATTATGGGAGTACCATATAAATGAATACTCACCACCATGTGGGTGGGACGGCAGCCTGAGAAACCGGATTATCTGCTGTGCTCTTTTTTTTGCTTTTCATGCAGATGTGTATATAAACATCCTACGGTAATAAGCTAAGGGTCACGGACACGTTCGTGAGTGTTTTTATTATAAGACAACTATGATTATGATGACAACAACTTTTAGAAAGAGGTGGCTCTATTTTGACTACTAATAAATACGTCGCCTTGATTTAATGATATTTGTAAAGAATGCATTTTAATATTTATTATTTATTTATTTTATTTAATATAAATATTCAATATACCCCCACAAATAAAGAGAATACAAAATTAGTTGCTAAATATTTTTGCATTATGCGTACGAAATTTTACGTTTTGATAGCGACTTTGAAAATTATTCGTGAATATGCTCCGATCTTCGAAACATTCCGTAAGTTCCTTCATAGAATCTTCGGGCATCACCCCTGTGAACTTCTCAGGATCTACTCCCAGATTTCGATCTCGTTCTTTTTTTGTAGGTGCTTGAAATGGAATTGCAATTGCAAACTACACAGGAACTCCGGGAACTCATCCGGAATCTTTTATTTTACTAATTATTTTTATGAGCATTTCTATTACAATAACAAAATTTTATCGAATATAGAATTTATAAATAATTTTTTTTTTGAAAGAGTCACTTATTTATATTTGTTTATACTTTGAATTTAAGTATAAGAAACAAATAGTTTCGTGAATTTATTTCTATTTTATTCCATATCATGTTCAATGTAATTTTGGTGATATCGATTTCGAATTTTCTTGCTATACTTTTGTTGGAATCATCTACTTTTGAAATTTCAACTACTATTAAATGTATTTAACTATCAAATTAGGATCTTAATTAAATCTGTAACTAAATTTTCTTTTCTGAAAAGAGATTACACCACCTTCATTTAACACACCATACTTTGTATCATTATTTTTCAAACCGATCACACAATAAAACAAGCGGAATGAAATAAATAAAATGTACATAAATTCTGCAAGTTCATTATAAATCAAAATCACCTACGGCTTTTTAAAGACATATGTGCTAAGTGGGTATCTGTAATAAGAGAACATAAAAGCATTATATGCGTACCTATATTTTCCATAATCGGTTTTTGTTTCAACAATTGGCTTACGAGGGCTATTTTCCATTCCCAAATTAGATGGTATCTGTCCATTGCGAGAATCTATTATAGTTTTAAATAATAAAATTAAATATTCTCTAATAAAATGATGAAATTTAATAATTAATAATAATTACCAATATTTCTTAAGGAACTACCTTCATGATAAGTAGGCCTGGTAGGACTGCCATGCCGATTAAGGTCGTTCGGACCGGAAAAGTTTCGATGATCGTGAGTGGAACGTGCATATTCCGGCGCTTGGGAATTCATACCAATTGCTGGTAAGGGACGACTTTTGGTCACATAGTTTAAAATAGTTGAAGATATTTTAGAAATGTGTAAAAAAATTATTTTTATATTTTTTATATACACATGTATGTGTGTATATCGGTATAATATAATGTGTATTTTTGTATACTTACTTAGCATTCGGCACTGACTTAAGATCATCGGGAGCGTTTGGCCCAAGTCTGCCCAAATTTTGTACTGTCAAGTGTGACGTATTATATGAGTCGTAACTGGACACACTATCATAGCTGCCATTTGGGTTTGCAGCTTTATTACTGCTAATGGGTTGGTTGGTTACAGCTGCATTAATTAGTGCTTGACGTTCTAAGGAAGCTTGATGCCGATCCATTGATTCGTTGACCGTTCGGGAAATGTATTCCGCTTGTACTTCGTCACTTACTATCGCCTTACCAAATAGACGTTCCTGTGCCGATCGACCCAAAGTTCCACCGGACGTGTTAGTACGAGAAGGTGGAGGTATTTCGCCTGGTCCTGGTTTCGATTGACGATCGATGCGCGGGGGTAAATCAGGTGCATGCATACCATACAATGATTGTGGGCGGGTCGACGGCATGGATTGTTCGGACACTCCACTTGTACCTATTAAGCTCGATCGTGTAGGATACGCCTCATATTTATTAGTGTCCATTGTTTGCCGACGGTTTGATAACGAATTAACAGCATGATCATACGGATTCTTACATAGGAATAGAGGAGGTTCATTAATAAAAAAAAATTTGATACTTTTGGTTTTCGAAATATTTTTATTTATAACGATTATTATTACAATTAATTAAGCAATGCTTGCGAATTTGAACAAGTTGTTTGATATAGATCATGCTTTGATTATTTAACGTAAAAAATATGTATTTTTGAATACTTAATATTGAATATTATATATATATATGATCTATTGTTAAGTATGAATGATCGTGTAGGTGTTTGCCTCTTACCGTATATGGAGGTGGGAGTCCGTCACCAACTGTATCTCTATCCCTATCCAAGTTATCCTGATTAGTGGCAATCGATGGATCTGAGCTCGATTTGACTAACTGCGGCAAATTGCCAAGAGATAACGATGTCGAAGGTCCCGGACTTAATTCCAAATCGGATTCCGGACTCGATGCATACGATAAACGGGAAGTGGTCATGGGGAAGAGGAAATCATCGGACAGGGACTCGATTGGCTAGGTTCGGATCGATATTGATATGGTTCGATAACGTTTTGTTGAAATGACAATTTCAATGGATGGAAATATTTGATTTGGAAAAAGCGAAACAATTAAATCGCAATTTAATTTATGTAGCAATTAACGTTGGAAAAATAATGAACATAAAACAAAGAACAAATTTACATTACAAGGCGAAACGAACATGGAATATTATTTGAGCATTAAATTAAATAACGTTTTTTTTTATTTAAGTTATTAAGCGATATATGTGTGCCCGATAACAAAAAAAAAAAATTAAAAAATTTCGGTATTTCATATAAATTTCAGTTGTACGGGATAAGTAAGCGGGAAATGACCAAGATGATATTTGTTGTAATGGGTTTCAGTACATAAGAAAAATGAAATAAAAGTACATAACATTTAGTTAGCAACAATGAAGTAAATATACATAACAGTACTTTGAAGTTTAAGTTGTAAAAAATGTAACGAAAACTATTTCGATTATATTACTATTTATTTATACATATAAAAATTATAGGTAAATATAGTAATTGTTAACATTTTTATCTGTATTATTTTTTGCAAATTAAATGCGAAATGCGACATATAATATTATGGCATACATGCAATTAAAAAAATGTGGAACTAAATACATACATATATATATAACTAATCATGCAGAACAGTGGAATAAACCAATGTGCAAATGAAAAGAGGTAACGTAAAGAACGGTAACTTTTTGGTAAGATTTTTTCCTTCCTTAAATTGAAATTATTGTATTTATATGTAATGTCTAAAAAGTTATTGCTTTCCAATTTATGGGTATACAAATTGAAACAAAACATTTTTGGTCAAATAGATATTAGAAAAGATATTAATATGAAGGTAGATGCGATACGAATTGCAATTTTTACACAACACAAAGAAACACAAACCAGAGCAACCAGTGGCGTTCATTTATGAAAGATCTCAATAATTTTTGCAAGTTTGATTCTGATGAGGCAAATTTCGTTATGACTTCTACATCTAGTTTCTCATAAATGCTAATTATCCTGATTTTTCTTTATTTTTTTCACTCTTTTCTTTCTGCTAAAATCAGCAATTATTTTTATGAGAGCTAATAAATTTAAATTTTGCATTTTGCTAAATAAAATATATTTCCATAAGGTTGGACACTATAACTGGCAATTTTTTATTAAAATAGATGATTTATTAATGATGATTTAATATTACCAACTCGGATAACAGTCGCAATTTACGGCTATACACAGTACCAATTACGTGCATTTACTTCTTTCCAAATTATTCAAGCTTCATGCTATACGTTCATTGCTACTGCCAAAATTAATATTGGATTCGCCAGAACTTTTACTTAATTTTGTGCCAGTATAATAGCTAGTCTTATTAATGTTATGAGAATGCATGCTGGATAATGTTGAATTCTTAAGTAAGGAAGCGGAAGGGAGATTTGTTATGGTAAAATTTCTAATAGCCGGCGTTGGGACAGGTTTTCCCTCTAGTTGCGCAGCAATCTTAGGATTATTACCATACGGGCTGTTGTTTATAGCATTGGAAGAATCAATATTACCGTTGCAATCATTATATGATCTCCCACATCTAGTATTTCCAATATTTATGCTTGTGCTGGCGTCATTTCCATTATTGTTCAGTTTATTTTGTGATTTCATACATGGAGAATATGTTCCTGTTTTCTGATTATTCTGGTTAATTATTCTTTCGCCAGCGGTTTCCACAGAATCTGCCGAATGATGAGGAATACATTCTTGAACACCATTTCTCTCTATCAGCGTGTCATTCAGGAGATTTAAATTGGAATCGAATATTGCTGGTTTTTTTATTAGTTCATTATAGTAGTAGGCAGTGGTACGCGGCTCGACTGTATGCGGCGTTCGTCCAATATTTCGTGTAGATCCTGCATAAATAGCTCCATCGGACTTTGCATTGTTAATATTGTCATCAATACTATTATTCATGGTGAGACCATTAATAGCTGAAGTTATGTTTTTTATTGACAAACTATCATGACGAACAGCATTTTCTTGATTTTTGTTGTCCTTTGCGCTGAGTAAATTTGGTTGGGAGCTGTGGTATTGGGATGTAACTCTGCCTACGGCCATATTATTGGTGTTACCACTAGACAGCTGCATGACGGAATGCTTTGTGGCTAGTCCACCAGGCATAGAGGATGATGGCTTTAATATGGGTACTACTTTATAAAAACATGTATGTTCTTTTAGTTCACCAGCTGGGGTATTAGTTATAGACTCATAATTTATTTCGTGACTTAGTGGTGGTGGACGGGGCGGAGTTAATGATCGTTGGTTTGTTAATAGCGAAAAGGAGTTCCGTCTACTAATGGAACAACGAGGTACCGATGATGATATAGGACGATAGCAGGGAAAATTGTACGGGGGTTCAAAGTGTGGAGTGAATATCATTTCATTTGTGGATGTGGGAAACTAGGAAATAATGAGGGCATGAGGAAAGTATATGGATAGTTAGATATTTAAAGTTCCATTAAATAATTATTACAACATATAAATTAAAATTAAGGTATACCAAGTTATAAAGCAAAATTAGATATCTAACCCTTTTTTATTTAACTTTTAAACATACTATTGATAACTACATTATTCTTATTAGATTAACAGAAGATGGCGTTTGCTGTAAACTCATATAACGCTCATTGAATAAAGTCAGAAGTAATACTAAAAAAATATCTCCAAGTTTTTTATTATTATTTTTAAGCTAATGGCAAAGAATTTAATGCAATGACCTTTTGAATTATACAATTTTTAATCTACAGAACAAATAACACCTTCGTTAAATTCAAGGCAGCAAACCGCTTCTAAAATTTGTATGACTTGGATCCAGTTGAAGAAAAACGTATGTATGATTATAATAATTGTGATAACGTATTTTTAATTCATCCTCCATAAACAGAATATGAAAATGATTTCATTATTTTTCTATAAACTCACGAGAGGCAACAGAATTTATGAAAAAATGTAAAAAATAAAAAATGTCACTCATAACTTTTTTTTTATTAATTTTATCAAAACATAGAGCCTGAGAGTACCACGATTCTAAATCGAGACTATGAACCCGTTTTCAACATTTCGAATAATTTCATATTTACCAGAATGTAGCACTGGAATAAGTGATTCTATAAAAGTTACACTATGGCTTCGATTGTAAAATATGAAATAAACAATCATCGAAATAAGTCTAACTGAAAGTACAATTTTGGATATTGTAGTAGTACTAACATCTGGTAATAAATTAAATTTTAAAATTGCGAACAATGAAAAAGTATACTACAATTTCTAAAATATTCATATTTTTTCATGACATTGATTTTAACGTAATATGAAAAAAAATGTTTCATTTAAAAAATGGGGAAAATACTAAAAAGAGACATAAGAAATACCTTCACAAGTGTATTCGAGAGTTCATTTAAATGCCATAGATAATATGGAAATTTATCGATTTCATTTCAAAAAGCGGTTCGCTTGTAACTCTGTTTGGAACACTTAAGTAAAAGATATTTTTTTTTTAGCTTTGGAGGTATATGGAGTCCGAACAGACGCATTTATTGTGTAGTCGCAATGTTTGCATCTCAAAAGAGATATTAAAATTTCATTAACCCGTATTTTATAAATTAACGACATAAATTTAATATCATTGTGGTAGTTAAATATTATAAATGCCATTGTGTATAATCTAAAATGTTTGTAAAAATAAAATGGTTAAAAGTTAATTGAAAAATTAGTAAGCACATTTGTAAGTATTCAGGTACTTCTTACATTGTATTACGCCCATCACCAAATATTATTGAGAATTCAGCTAAATACGTAAATGTATAAAGTAGGGCCCTCCAACTAATATATATTTGTATATATACCTAAATTATATGACTATAAGCAATGTATCGAACCCTAACCGTCAAAAGGCGGTGGGTTTATTTGCCCATTTCAGTTCAAATTCTGCTATTAGGTCGCTTGTATCTTCGTTGACTTCCCATGTATCTGGTAACTGCGGTACAAATCTTGACCTGCAGCTTCTTAACTTAAAAAAAAATATTCAACCTTTCCTACGCGTGTAGAGTTTTTTCTTCATAAAAACATTAAATTGAGCATATTTCGATTACGGTCTTTCGGCGATTAGGGTTCAAAATAGTGTATAAAGAATTTTATTTAAAACACAACAAGGTATTAAAAGCCTGCCGAATTGTTGTTTTTCTATATATCTATAATATAACCATATTTAAGTACAGTGGTACTTTGTTGTGTTTTAATAATATCATTACATAAAAATTATGGTAATTTTTAATTAGCTACTACAAATATTAGAATTTATTACCTTTGATTCAGACATCCATACCGCACCACTTTGCTGTAAATCAATTGCGTCACGTAGCTTTCTATACCAAGATTCCTCATCATTCAACACTATCTGGGTACTAAATATATGGGACCATACACGTTCTAGTTTCTGACATTGTTCTAACAATTTTTTTGAGCTCTTATGTGCTGCTTTTGGTAATCCATGTCGCAATTGTTTTATAACATGCTTACTGTCAGTCTTCAAGAATATAACAATCGGATATAATTGTGCATAATTTAAACGGTCGACCGCATTTGGAGTAATGTCTAATAGCGCATGTTTACCCCGATCCATTATATCTCGTATATTTGACAAACGGATTATTCGACACTTCGAGTTCGACTTGTCATCATCTTGTAGAGGTACTGAAAACTTATCTGAAAAGTCTTTTGCAAGCTTTTCACGTGCCAAGTCAGATATCGGTCCAAAAAGTACCAGAGGTCTAACGAAACCCGGGTGGCGCAGCACAACTCGTTCATATGCAGGGAATTTTGAAATACTATCAGCAAACACCACATCATCCCAGTTTTCTCTAGAAAGGCTTTTGGAACGTCGGTGGGTAGACCTAAGAGATTAAGTTTACTTTATTCAGTTGTAATTTTAATTTTTTACGAAAATGTTTCAATCATATATGACTAAAAGCTGCATTAAGAAATACGAAATTAAAAAAAAAAAAAAGAAATGTTTACCGTCTTCTTCTAAAGAAATTTCCACGGGATTCATTTGAGTTCATTTCCTTCTTATTTGCATTGAATTGCGCAGTTGCCAACTCTTCTGCTCGAGATTTATTTGGTATAACACCACGTTGCATCTCCTGATGCCCCCTTCCTATTTTCAGCACTTGCCATGAGCCAACAACGCCATTGTGTAATGTATCAATGACACGAAAAACATCTCCGGCTTTAAAAGCCATTTCTCCTTTTGATGGATTATCACAATGAAAGTGTGTTTTAATATGAAAAGAATCCCCACGTTGATTCGCCACTACTTCATCGTAATCTTCCTTGCAATATTGTACAATTAAATCTATGCGATCTTGCAGACTAAGTAAGAACAGCACAGCCTCTTCCCGTGTTACACCGTGCATGTCCATATCGTTGACTTTGAGAATCTTATCTCCAGGTGTAAGGCCCTGCAAAGATGCTGGGGAACCTGGTTGCACGGCTGTAACATATATTCCAGACTCGTTCCCACCAGTTAAACGTATGCCAACACTTCCCTCTTTTTGAAATGAAATAAATCGTGGCTCTGATGATTGCCTTTGATGCGTCAGTTGGTCGGATTCAGTTACTTGACGGCGGGTACTATAAAAGTCTTCTGAGCTACCAGTGCCGCTGCAACGAGGAGGTGGAGGACGTGGAGGCTCATCAGTCCTTGTGCGGCTACCATTCGGAGGCGTAACAGGACGGTCGAGTTGTGACAGTGAAACACCATCCATGATTGGTCCACGAGAACGACCCCTAGGAGTAAGGTTGCTCTTTTCATCATTCAACCCGTTTGAAACACCATTTCCCAAACCACGAGTAGGTGGTTGAACATATAAATTTTGGGATGAGTAATTCGCTCCCCCACTTAAATATGGATCGTCTAAGTTATTGCTACAGTTGGATATCTGTGTTTGGTGACTGGCGTATAAATTCGATTGTGTTGTTGAATTGTTCAACTGGTTAGTCATTGCGGTTACTGCCTGATTGGTAATGTCACGTAAAACAACCAAATTTAAACGTTCCTTGCAGCCATCGATTATCTTTTTCGCTTCTTTCAAACTCATGGTGTCGCCACAATTTGTGTTATGTATTCTTGTAATTACATCACCTTCTTGTAGAGAATATCCATTGGCCGTTAATTGATCACGAGCTTTTGCCGAAATTTCCTTGATAAATAACCTACAGCCCAGCACTACGCCGTAATCGTCCTTTTTATTTCCCCTGGAGAGAGTTACCTTAATAGGTTGCGCTGAATGGTTTTGAACTAATGAAGTATTCAATGTATTAGGTTGACTCATTGCAGTTGCTGTTTGCACTGTATTTGTTGGTGCTCCTCCTACCGATGGCATAACATGAGAACTATGACTTTGTGCAGTAGAGCTTATGGTTACGCGTCGTTTAACAACAAGCGCCACTGTGTTGCCACTGTCTCTCAATACTTGTACCGCGGTAGCATATTCAACATTCTCCAAGGAAACTCCATTAACAGATATTATTCGATCGTTAACCCTTAAAAAATAAAAGAAATAACATAGATATAAAGCTTTTTTGCGATGTACTCAAACTGCAATATGTATGAGGTGGAGTGGATTATTCGGTAGGGCTGTTAGACATTTTCGAAAAAAAGTTAATTTATCTCAACCTATTTTATATTATGGCTGTCTAATTTCCTAATTACATACATATACATATATATTATAAAATTATTAATACGGAGTAGACTCACTTAATACATTACATAAATGTAAAAGGTGAAAAGGACGCTCGAATAAATTTTCCAACGCACTCATCTGGTTTTGGAAAACCCTAACACATAAGCAATCTTTCTTTTTCATTTCGTTAATTTTATTTTCTTTCTTACAGAAATTTTTCCTCTACTCTTACTTTGATTTTCTTAAAGAACTGGCAAAGAACGGAAAAAGTTGTTTCTTATAAAACGGGAAGTCGATACCATCCTCATAGAGGTCAAACTCAGCATTTGCCTGCAAATACATATACGAGTACATATTGGCTGCGTGCAAGCTAATGGTCAGATTCGAAGATGCGGACATCATGAAAGTTGTGTGAAATAAGTACAGAAGACACTAAAGAATTTAATAATGGAATGTCCAATTGAAAAGGAGAATGAAATAAATTTAAGATACCAAAAAGAAACAATTTATTTTCTTCATACATGGAAAATTTGTAGAAGGCGAAGTTGTAAAATCATATGATTGCTTGTTCTTCCTTCCATTTTCACAAATTACACAAACAAAATACATGAGAAATAGGTTATGACATTACGAACTTTTTATTACACCAACAAAATACATTGAACTAATTTCCTTTTTGACTTTTCGTTTTATTTTTGTTTTTAAATACTTGCTACTACCATGTGTGAATTTGCCTTGTGCTTCATATAACAAACTTATTTTATATTGATGTAGAATATAAGTTATTTTTGTTTAAAAAAAATTGTCATATTAAATTTAAGAAGAATATTATATTTATAATTGAACACCGTGGTAGCCGAGTGATTACCATTACGTACTGCCATTCGATTCCTGGTACGACACAAAGTTATAGAAAATTAATTCAAATAAAAAATTAATTTAATTTTTCTATTTACATACATACGTTGCTCAGCAGAGAGGTTATTTTGAAAATGGGTATATATTACTTTTGGAAGAGCGAATTTATCAAAAAAAATTGGTTAAGACTAGAGGAAAGATTTATATGAAGATAAAAAGCAGTTAATGGTCTCATATTTAGGTTATAAACTAAGAGGTACCGCAAGAAGGTAGTTCCAGTTAAATTAACTGTGAGATTAATTATATAATAGAAATAAAATTATTTTCAGGCGGCTTAGCATTTTTTATGAAAAAATATATTAAATATTTTTAAAATGACAATATATTAAAGCTCAAATGAAAATAAAAGATACTGTCAAAAAACCAGAGATGACAAATGAAACGACGTCATTTCGTTCTTCTAATGTGAAAAATAAATCTTCCTACCTAAATGATTTGGTTTCGTTTCAAAGCCATGTTATGTTATCGAAACGAAATGAAATTGTCAAGTTTTAAACCGCAAAAGCTCATCATTAACGTTACTTCTAAAATGGCTGTTTGTTATGATTTAACAGTACACTTCAATTTTAGCGTTCAACAATATCCGTTAGCGATTTAGCTTTAACGGCAGCTTTTCGGTTCGGGTAAAAACTAAATCAAATTTATTTTGATAACTGCTTTAACGATAAAATTTCCAAATGTTTGAAATTTTTTAATTATCGCGAAATTTATCATTATGATGCTGCCTTGCAAAAATCCATTTAGCGTAGATCAATGACTTCCAGGCCTGAAATATGCTTACCCACTTTGGTTTTTTATTTTTTCTCAAACTTTCAATACAAAATCAAACAGCAGATATATTTGTTACCTCCTATTTCGCTGGTAACAAAGTTTGCAGGGTAACAGTGAGCTCAGAATACGAAATGGTAACAAAATTTATTGAATGGTAAATTTTAAAACCTAGGTAAATTTTGTTACCTCGACAGAATAGGCCTGTTAGTGTAAATTTTATATTGAGTGAAACTTTTTTTTACATTTTTGTTTTAAATTTATTATTAACTAATCCAATAAATCTGCGTATTTTAACTGCAAACTAAAAATTCCTTGGCCGGAGATTTCGCGAAATGACGAAAAGATACCAATGTTAACGTCAATTCAATAACATTTTTCAATCTACTTATACACATAAGAAAATAATTAGCGCTTATTTCCTGGGATGCCCAACTGCGAGGTGCTCTCAAAATATTTGCGAAAAGACACATTTGAAATTAGGATAAAACATTACTTTTTTATTAACACCCTCGTACATACGTATTGTACATACATGTGTATGTGTTTTGGTATTTCGGCTTTAAGAAACTGATGAAGACTTTGCCCTACGTTTCTCTCGCTCAGTTGAAAATATTTTTTTTTTGGTATTTCATTTTTTTATAGAAATAAAACACAGAATGAACTAAAATTTCACTGGTACATACAAACATATTTTATGAGAAAACCGTCCACGTGCAGCAGTCACTTTTCGTACTTAGGTATAATTATTGTTATCAAATACTTACGACTGCATTATGTGCTGCTCAAAGACAAGTCTACGAACCTACTAAATAATTTTGAATAGGGACAGATGAATAACATTGCGGATCGTTATTTACCATTAAAACTCCTTCGATACTAATTTCCAAAAAATTTCAAATAATCATTTACGTTGGGGGTTTCTTTCCTTTGGATTATTTGAGATTAAAGAAAAGTTTTTTACTCACTGTAAACGATCTTCGGCGGGACCACCTTTCAAAACATCGCTGACAGCTATTGATGGATCACCATTTGCAAAATGTGGATTGTCGCGTCCTCCAGAGACTGCTATACCGAAACCATAGCCCGGCACACGTGTAACCGAAACCGTGTGATATTCCCAAGTCGTACGATCGCCCTGCAAAAGTAAACAAATTAAGATAAAAATTAAGTACAAATTAAGGTATTATTATATTACATTTGTATATATACAAATGAGGTCACACCCATGCGCTATATTTTTCGTATATCGAACATCTCACGCTTTGTTACTAAAACTTTTTAGCTCGGTATTCTTCAGTTTTTTTATACGTTTTACACTATATTTATTTATTTATTCTTCTATTTGAAAGTGCTTTGAAAGCGTGATTTTTTAAACTATCCTAGCGATATTTTTGCTCACTTTTTAGCTAGATTTATTCAAACCTGGTGCTAATAAGGGTAATGAGAATCATTTATCAAACTATTGTGATGCTATCGTTTTTTAATATGTGTACCAAAGGAGTCGGTTGAGAGGGAGTTAAAATTCAATTGATATATTTTAAAATTAAAATTGAATAATTCTGTTAGATTTTACACCCTCTCGAAAATTGTGCGATATATCGTACAAAGTTCACAAAGGTAGTAAAAATCATTGTATGCTTGTTTAATCCATTTCTTCGCAAGTCATAAAACATCTTTCTTGCCTGTTTCCATGTTCTTTTGCGTTGAACATTGTTGTACAGGATCCATTTTTCATCACCAGTCACGAGCCGATCCAAAAAAGGATCGTTTTTGATCCGTCGAAGCAAAGAAATTGCTGTTGACATACGGTCCACTTTGTTTTTTTCACTCAACTGATGTGGCACCCATGTATCGAGCTTCAAAGTGTACCCAACCTTTTTTTAACGACGAAACGCAATTGATTTGTTGACGTTCAATTCACTAGCAACCTCTTCCGTCGAAATACGTGAGTTATTCGCAACTTCTAAGGACTTTAGAACATCGTCATCAAGCTCAGAAGGCCGTCCACTGCGAGGTGCGGAGTGCTGGAGCACAGTCCAAATAAACTTCGCAAATATCTTTAGTTGCAGCGCCTACTGTTTTTCCATTGCGGAATTCGTATAACATACTATGACGCATATGATCTTTTTCGTTGTCCATGTTCCATGCGTCTTTTCACTAAGCAACTCAAATCAAAATAAAGTTATTTTATGCTTGATTTACAGTTCGGACTGTCACCTTTCCAACGATATATAATATGTATATATTTCTTTCACGAGCGCCCCTCTCAAACGATTCGAACGGCATCCAGCGGAATCGGGCACGAACTTATGCACTCACAATATGTTGCCGAGTGGTTAGCATTGCGTCTTGCCATTCGGAAGGGCCGTGTTCACATCTTGGAACGATCAACATCCAAAAATTGTAGAAACTTAATTTAAATAAAAAATTAATTTTCTAATTGCTGTCGGCCCTCGGCGGGGAATGTCAACCCCTCCGAGTGCAAAAGCACAAATTGGAGAAGGAGCTCGGCCGAAAATTCTTTCAGCGGTTACAAAGCGCTAATTAATACCATATATATAATTATATATTTTATGTTTTAGTATACAATAATATTTGCGATAACTCAGAAACACTTGTTCCTTTTGAAATTGATAAATGATTATTCCACTTATAGAATCGTTTAGAAACATTTTGTTTTCCAAATACTATTCAGTTAGATTCCTAGTAACGGGCTTTTTATTCTGCTATTTTACCATGTGCTTACTAAACGGTCAAACGAACTTCTTTCATGCTTCATGAGATGAGGACAGATCCAATTTGTCAACATAAGCTGTTCCCGATGAATTTATATTCTCTGTGATAATAATTCCAGTTAAGTTATAAGAATTGAAAGTGCTTACAGGTGTGAAGAACTAGCGCATAAGAAACCACTACTTTGTGAACTTGTCAGCGTTTTTTATTGCTTGAGTTAAAGGATGAATTTTACAAAGTTTGTCATTGCAATAAGGAGAAATTATTAAATTATCCACAAAATGTAGGTTTAGACGTAACTACAACCCATGTAATCCAATAAACATTTTTATCATGAAGTAAGAGTAAGATGTATTCCTCCAGCTTCTTAGCATCATCATTAGCATTGTCATCAAAATTTATTACAAACATATGTACGAGTATATCAAGTTTACGTTTTCTTATATAACTGGAGAGCTAATGTGTATTATCTCATAATCTGTATTAAGTTCACCAAACAACTCTTCAATATCTTCAAAAGTTTGTCTCATTTCATCGTCATAATCAGACGGGTTTGGATCTATTTCATCCGAAAATTTCTTTTCTAGGGGCGGCTTGATTTTATAAAATTTTTAGTGCATACGATTTCGTTTCGAAATTCTGAGTGAACTAAAGTTTTGCTGTTATTCGTATTAACATAGAACAATTACTTTTCACTTTCCTTCGAAAATTTTTGTTTAAATTTGAAACAAACGTAACGTCGCGATTGCTGCCAAGTCACAACCGTTTGCAAATTTCGTGCGATTTATTTACCATACAAATCATGTGCGGATGTTGCCTAACTATTTTTTTATGTGGAAATTTTGTAATTATTATATATTTATTTTAAAAACTTAAAATCTTTTTTTTCGTAATATATTTTTGCGGCAATGCTATATAATAATTTTTGATATAAGTATTAAGTAAACTAAGAGGCCTGTTTGTTTGTATGAATTGATTATTTTTGTTATACAACAAAGACTTCTTATGGCAGGGATCGAACCTACGGATCTGGAATTAACAGGCGATTGCTCTACCACTGCTCCAGCATCAGCCATTTAATCTATTGTTGTTTATTCAATTCATTATTAAGTGCGCTAATTTAGCCGCTATTTTCTTTATAGCTTGGTTAGTGAGTTGTTTTTGGAATCCGCTATACTTTCAGGCGTTAATTGACTGAAAAATGTATAGGCAACATGAAGTATCAGATTCAACTTATAAATTCATAATTTGTTTTTTTTTTTTTTTTAATATCTTCTTCAATATAGAGAATACCATTTCCCCGAAAACTTAAAAAAAAAATACAATAATTTTTTTTTTATCCTACCACCTCAGAGAAACTGAAAGTTTATCAAAAGCAGCTTGCAAAGAATTGTTATTATTTTTCTTCATTTTAATTGAAACAAAAAATTATAAATTAGCTTAGATAGTCTAATTAATATTTAACTTATTCGGAAAAAGAAATATTTAAGTAAAGGAAAAGAATCGTACGATATATCGCCCAAAATTACTCAAAGGGTCAAAAGGAAATGTGTAAGAATATCATTTATGGCTTTTCAGAATACGTTAAATTTGATATTGCTAAGAAGTAAGTGTTTAGATTGTACTTACTTCTTAGCAACACCAAATTTTCTCAAGCTCTAATAAAATGAATAAGCCTAAATTTGTTACGCGTTTTCTTCCGAGTAACCTTTTCTTCCGTTTGTAAGGCTGAATATAGTTGTGGACTACCAGGCGAATATTTATCGAGTTTGGCTTGTTTTTTCATTATTTCTGTGACTATTGGGCTAGTTCAGATAAGTAACTCAATGGTGATGTTATTCACAGTGGCGCGAGTAAATGTTATAATTTTTATTATATTTACTTTTAATTTTTATTTCATCCATTATACTAACACTAGAAATACCAGATTTATTTTGAATTCGGACACTTATCTATTTTTATATATTAAATTCAGCCCAACAATTAGATGCAACGCTAGTTTACGAAGACGCAACTTGCATCAGTAACCCAACAGACGTTTACGGATTTTATCAAATCAAATTAAATTGAGCGGAAGTTCATCGCCCTTCCGCTAAATAATAACTTCAATGCATCAAACTAAATTCTTCGCATACGTATGTATGAGCAAACAAAATACATACATAAAATACAAACTTTGGTATGGATATGTGTACATATAACATTTTTGAATCATATAGTCCATTAGAGTAATCCAATAAGTACTCCTCTGTAGTTTACTATTGGAACAACTGACGTTTCGCGACCAGTTTGCGGTTAGCCGATGATTGCGCGTGTTTTAACGATTAGACTTACTAAACGAAATTGAAAGTACACCATCAGATTAATACTCGTGTACAGATAATATGCAAAAAAGAAATTGAGTCAGTTCGTTTCGTTGGTAAGCTCTGCTGGTACACAGAAGGTATGCTGAAGTTGACCCAGTATTTTCCAATGAAAACCGAACACATTCGCACATTGAAATATGTTTATGAAATAAGTATGTTAATATCTTTAATATAAATTTATATGATAACATTTTGTTTTACATACTCGGATTCAATAATGTAATTTGTCATATATATATTATATTACTTCATAAAGTAATCCATTCTAGGTACTCTATTGGCGTACTCGGTTGTTATGCAGAGATGGAGTATATGACTAAATATTTTATATGGATTGTGGTTAGCATTGGATTACTCTGTAGTCAACGTAAATTTTTAGTTGTTTGCAGGGTGTATTGTAGTTACTTCTTTATAAGTATATACAATTTTTGATAAGTTACACCTCAAAATAAAATTTTTCAAATATCTATGAAATCAACGTTACACCATACGAGTTATGCAAATCCTGCTATAGAAATGTAACGAGTTTCCCAATAAGAGGTGTTTTTTGATATTCAAAGAAACTTTTCTCTTAAAATATCGAAGCTGAAACAATAATATTGTTTGAAATTCAAGGAGTATTTGGATCGTAGCACGCAATAAAAGCTTCTTTTAAAGTCTATCGACCGTTCGAATAAACTGTAGATCCTTCCATTAGAAAAACAACAAGACGGATATCACAAATTGAAGGAGGAGCTGGAACCGTTTACGCGATTATAGCCTAATCAATATTAGCTCTGTTTGGCGCCAGTTGGAAATTTCAAGTGAAGCCAGGTCGATCTCCACTTGATTCTCCCAACGGAGTGCAGGTCTTCCAATGGATATATGTATGTTTATAGGAAAATAAAAACCTTTAATAATGCTTATTAGGTCATGTGTTGTAAAATCTTAAAGCCCAGATATTCACAATGAGCAAAGCTTGGGATAAGATCTATGACTCACCGCATGGTAGCATACGCTTCGTCGTAAGCAGCAATATTTTTACTCACGTGATTTT